TTTTTAATACTTGAGTTTGTATTATTTAAAATAAATATTTAAAAAAATTAATTAAATAATCTAGTACATGTTTATTTTTAATTAAGTATCCAAAACGAATAAGCTTTTCTTTTGTACATTTATATATTTATTAAATGGATGTAGTATTTTGTGGTTTGTTCGAAGATGGTATTGGGCATCACGTAAAAGAGTTAATTTCGTTAGAAAAAGTGTTTTCTAACGTTCTTTGATCTTTGTAGTTTAATAGTAACAAAAAGAATATAGATTAGTAACCTTAACTGCATTTACAGGAAAAATATAATTAAAAGATTAATAAATTAATCTATTTTAACGACACCTGAATTATAGCTCGATTATAGCCTTTGTTTTAATTTGTCCCAGCGCTTTCACCAGAATTTGAAATATTTTTTTTAATAACTGCTAATAACGTTTGTGTATCTTCATTACCAGCTTACTTTTGGCATTTAAACGATAATTTTTAAAATAATTAACCAAATAAAAATGTATTGTTCGAGTGCAGTACCGTTGTTTCGCGTAAAAGAGTTGTTTTCGTGAGAAAAAGTGTTTTGTGTTTCTTTGTTGTTACAATTATTAGAGTTGCCTATATTTTATATTACAAACTGTATTTAAATTGTAAAAAAAGGATAAAAACCTATTCTCGCTACGATCCTGTGATAAGTTAAAGGTCTCGGCATTCTACGTTTATTAAAAAAGAGTGCGAGACGATTGGCCACACGGTTCACGCATGTACTTTTGTGAAATTTTTACTCAAATGGACATATCGTGATTATCGTGTATAAATGGTCGTGAGTGGTATTAAGTGAATATGACGTGTGTATACATATATGTTGCGAAAAATTAAAAACAGAAAAAATTAATTATGGTGTTGTTTACATAATTAAAAATACACGAATATTTTGTGTAACATTAATAAAATAGAAATGAAATTTGTACAGTACTGTATTGACTAGCAACGTTTCTTGTAAGCATCGGTGGTTCAGTGGTAGAATGCTCGCCTGCCACGCGGGCGGCCCGGGTTCGATTCCCGGCCGATGCAAGTTCTTTTTCCTTACGATCAACTAAAATAGTGATATAAAGTTTATACCACGTACATACGGCACCAATTTGGTGGTAGAATTATCGTTACATTGGACCCATTGCTTTTATTTCTTATTTAAAATCATCATTATTAATTACAAAAATGCAATAATTGTCTTTGTTAAATCACATTTATTTGTGAGGAGGAAGACAGGAATGCTATGCCTTATTTCTACTTAATTAACACATTTATACAAGATTAATACGCTTGGCAGTTAATTAGGTACTTACGAATGTTTTTTAAATGCCTTAGAAATACATGTAATGGGAAATTATTTAGTACAACAAATTTACATAAGTATATGAATAGCGTATACTCACATTTTTTTATTGCATAAAATTAAATTTAAATATTTTATCAGTAAGTAATTTGATAATTGCTATTCTAAGGCATTTAAAAATTTGGGAATGCTATCCAATGTAAAACCAAAAATATACATATAAAATATGCAATAAATCTACAGCTACAGCTACCTTTTCACGTTACATTTTATTCGTAACAGAAAAAGTGAATAGAACAAACTCAATAATAAAAAAATTTAAACGGTATATACATAGTGTATTATAAAATCAGTCTAGTAGACAACTCTTTGGGATTTATAAAAAGGAAATAGATGCATGAAAAAAATAAATGCAAGTTTTGAAAACGTTTGTGTGGATAGCTATCTTACTGTTTAGAATAGTCCACGTTTTTCATAGAATAGACAAAAGTAAGAAACAAAACAAGAGCTATTTAAAAAAAATGCCTTATCTAATAGTCTTCATTATATTAATACTATTTCTTTGGTAAAATTCAAAAAAATAATTTTCAATTATAAGAATAAAAGTTGGTTTTAAATTATAACGTTATTATAGTTTAAAAAGAAAACGAAAGTGCATATGTAAAATTTCAGGTACACATGTTAACATTAAGTTGAAAATTATTTATTAATTATACAAACGAAGAAATACTAGAAATTAATCAGTCAAATTAATAAAGAGATGTTAAATAAGTGACAAGTATGCACATAAAAGTATAGAGAAAAATCAATATTATACAACATTTAATTGCGTAGTAATAGACATTTATATGTACCAGCAACATTGACCTTACGAAGCTACTTTAATAAATAATTATAAGTATGTATAAAGCTAGGTTTGAATGTTATACAATATTGTGCCCTGTTATATACAAAAATATAATTTTTGTAAGTCTTTTCAAAAGCTTGCAAGTTAAATTAGCCTAAACATAAAAAATTATTAACTGTCGTTCATTTTTAATTCAGGGAATATTTCTGACAATACGACTTCTAATAAATCCTGAAAGAAAAAGATGTACTCATTAAAAAACTCTGAACGTCCATTCTAAATATAACTGAAAGGATTTTTGAAATCGTATGAGACGTTTCGAAGATTACCTCTCTACACCCAAACTTACAAACTTTACCTCTTTATAATATTTGTATAGACCAGTGTTTCTTCAACGTCGACATCGAGTGTCTACTGTAAATATAACACAATTTACTTACGTAAAATAGTTGTTTGTTCATAGCCTTATTTTGCAGTGTATCGAATACTTTTTGTGCCCCACTTTTTGCCGCATTGGCTCCGACCAAAGTGATTAAAATTTCCGGTACATTTGACACAAACTCCTCTCGGGCTTCTTTCTGAGTGGCCAACTTTTCTTCTTCACTTCTTATCGGAGCTTTAGGTGCCAACGTACCTGACGGCCACCAACTCTTTAATATCAACGAAATGTAGTACAAAAGCATTTGCTCAGAAAAGCACCATGATATAGTGTCCAATATTTGTCTGTTTATCGTACGACCGTATGTTACTTGAACAAACGCTATTAAAGTTTTTCTGAGATACTTGAAGACACCTTAAAGACAAAAGTTCGGAGTAGAGAAGGATGGCAGAAGGATGAAATGGTCTCGTTAACAAATAAACGATAAAGCATTTTTAAATTATATGAACTAGATAATTACTCATATTTTTATTAAAGTAAAATTACTAAAGCTACCTTGCATATTGAAAATTTCACTCATCAAAGTATAGAGAGGTTCGGCTATTGTATCTCTGTCTTCGAATTTAGAAAAATGGCCGTTAGTTTTAGTATTTTCCGAAGAATCTATTAGACCTGACGCGTCTAAACACTGGGAAATATCTTCATCTTCGCTTTCTTTAAACAATGACGTTTCACGTGATGATTGTTCTGCACTTGTACTACTACTACTGCAAAATTACAAAGATAAGAAGTATTAACATTTTATCTTGTTTTACTGTAACATTCTTCCATATTACCTTTTAAAAAGAGTCGAAAAAGAGAATTTTGATTTCTTCGGCGAATATGAGGTATGTTTTAAATGTTCAGAACTGGGACTTAAAAACGAGTAGACGGCTTCGCTTTGGTTTAATCGATCATCTTCTAAGATAAACTTAAGCGGACATTAAAAAAAAATAATGAAATATCTAGATGTTTGCAAGGAACTTACATCTAAGTATCGTTGAATAAGGACTTTGGCTTTATCTAGAGAATTTTTGTCAGTTTTTCCAAAAAGGAATTTAAAAGTATGAGACGGTAGCTCTAGATTACGAACATCCGAACAAAGTGGTCTTAATTTTCGATGTAATTCTTGAAATTGGGGGAGCGTTCTAGATACTACCCATCCAGTGCTTATCCCATCATCTTCATCTGATAAGTCTTTTTCCAATACGTGAACGACAATAACAAATAATGGAGGCTCCTTTTCTTCAGTTATCTTTAATAAAAAAAAAACAATGAATGCAAGAGTTAAGACAGAAACTTATTATATATACATCTGCACTTTGAACTATTGCTCGCCATTTTCCCAAATTTTCTCCCCACGTTTCGGTTCTGTTTATATGAGCCTCAAGTTGTCGCTGTTCTCCCTCAAGCCACTCTACTTCCCTTTCTAACATCGTTAATACTCTGGACTCTGGCTTCAAAGAAGACTTTAGAGCCTGTAGAGCTTGTTTTTTGTTACTTAATTTCTCTTGTAATTGATCTAATTTCCTTTTAGCATAGCCCGAATATTCCTCAACATGTAAGCCGCTTTCTTTTCCCCCTGAATCTACACATGTGACTATATCGCCGTATGGTACGGAGCTATCGACCTCGCTTACAGCCTCATCATTAGCCATTGCGGATAACATTTGCTTATAAAAATCGCTAATAACAAATGGCTGGTAGTACTTATCTTCCAAGGTTTTAACTACTTGTTCTTGGACTTCATAAAAAACTTCTGGTCCTTTATCACCTACATTTAAAAATACGCGATAACCTTCAACAATATCAAAAAATTTTTGTTCTGACTAACCTAATAGAAAGGCTTCCATTCGTTTTCTTGTGCTTTTATCAACTTTAATTTCAGCTGTAGGGTTCCTTATGAATGTGTAGAAAATTTCAGCGCCTAATTGATGCCAATTTTTTCTTGGAGCTGTTCGTAATTCCTCTACTGATGACCAGTACCCTATTAGACCTTGACTTGCTACAGTTTCCAAAAACTGAGAAAAATATTTACGTCCAAGTACGTGTTCTAATATAGACATTAGGGGAAGAATCTATAATAATATTTTGTAAAAAAATACAGCTCCATGATTTAATAAAAAATAATACATTTCTATTGTCATTTTGAATATGATAGTTTAGGTCCCATCCTAAATCTTTCATTCTTTTTTCACATTCGCCTTTAGCATAAGTTAACTGACTTATGTATCGTTTTAATTTTTTTGCTGCATTTACTTCTGACTTGTTTATGCCCCCAGAAGTGCTCTTTTCAATGTCTGGGTCGAAACCTTTAGCTCTTTTTAAGTTTTGTAAAGTCGTTGCTTGCATTATCTTTGTCACAATGTCATACCTATATAACATAGTAGGATACAAGATAACAATAATAAAATTATTTATGAAATCTGTTACCTAATTCTTTTCAAAAGTTCCAAGTCATTCGTTTTTTGAATTAATTTCAAAAAATCCTCAAAACTATTGGCATATTCAAATGTTTTTTTATGCATGGCTGCTGCACTTCGTTGAGTTTCAATGTACACAACTACATTCTGATTAAAATAATCAGGATCTGTTATAGTGTCTATGAATGGTTTTAAAACTGAAATAAAATCCGCAATGCAAAATATAAACTGCTTGAAAATTGATATGATAATAAATATATAATATGTGTATTACTCACCCTTACAAGTTAGCAGTTCTCTAACAAGATATTTTGAGGGTGAAAGCGAGTAACTTCTTGGGAGTAAAAACATTATCAAGAGTTCACTTACATTTCTTAGATAACTTAATTCTTTCTCCTCCGAAACAAGATGAGGTGAGACAGAAAATAGAGGTAGATGCTTACTCGCGATACTAAAATATGAAATTTTAGTTGTAATTTCAAATAACATTTGATAAATGAACCTACACCAAACTTTCTCCAGCTCGAATCTTTTCAAAGTGAAGAGTGATTTTATTAACCATATCACAAGCTATAAGCTTAACATGGTCAACTCTTGAAATCCTTTCAGAAAGTATTTGAACTGAACCCCACAAGTCTTCCCTATAGTTAAAAGTAATTTAGGAATGCAATAACTAAACGTTGATAACTTACTTTATAGTGTCAGTTAAAGGTTTAGGCTTATATGCATAATCTTTTAAGTAAACTAAAATAAAATCTCTAACTATGTAGTCTAATAACTGATGAAGAACACTATCAACTGTTCTTCCAAATATTACTGGAAGATGACTTTGTGGACTCTCTATTTCCAATGACCCATTATGCTAAAACATTCACTTGATACTACAAACATTACTAACAGCGGTTATTACTGCATACCATAAGATTAGACCGAAAATTTTCTAGTTCCTTCATTATATTTTCATTTCCGGTTCCAGTTTTGTGAGGTGATGATAGCATAATGTGAATCCATACAATGCAGTATACTGCTAATATAGCTATGCAAGCAGTCAAAACCAGCATGCACACAATTGATAGACATAATGGGAAACAAGTTAAGCTTAATGCTGATAACCCAATAACAATTATAATTGATTTATTCATTCTAGAATCAAAAATTTTTAGGTATAATTCCAAAATAATAAAAATGTAGTACGAACCTTCAAACGATTGGTGTGATATACACTATCTGACACTAAACACCAGTCACTTTAAATGTAAATAAACACTTTGAACATAAAGTTTGGGTAAAATACTCCAAATTTACTAATTTATTCATCTTATATCGCCCACTTTTAAACGTCAAAAATTGAGGTTAGTTTATATGTCAAAATATCTGACAGTAAACATTACTCATTACCAGTGGCGTAACAACGATACGCCATAAGGGTACATATAGTATCAGTTATACGATTGTAATAATTATATTATATTTTATTATACGACGGTCATTTAAATAAAAAAGGCATTTTCTAAAATGGCAACAATAAGCGGGAGTTTTGTTCAGGCGGGGGTATTAAATACGACTAGTTGCTGAGGCGTATCTAAAAATCCATACTTTAATATATAGCCCATAAAAGTACAAAAAAATAAAATAAATAGTGGTTTATTCATCCAAAACTCAATTTAACAAATAATTGTCACATAATACTACCGGCATTTATTACGTTTATAATACTATTCTTTTTTTTAATGTATCGTGATAATTAACATAATGATGACGATGACGAAATTTATTATTTGTAATGACCGAAATATTCTCTTTCCTCACTGAAGCATCGTTTCCACATATTATAAAGCAGTAGTAATACTGTGCATTCGTATTCCTCTCGCAATACTTCACAGAAGCTTATACTTAAATCCTTTACCATTTCGGTTTCTATTTGGGTTCTTCGTATTTGGCAGCACATTTACTTTATAAATTAACGATGAATTATTACTTTAGGACTAGTAATTACAACAGAAAGACTAGTATTCGTACAATCCGTCATTCGATTATTTTTAAAGGCTCCTTGAATGAGCCCGTCTTCAATTTTTCTTTATGTTCAAACGCTTGGTCATTACATTTAATTTTAATGTCATCATCGACAATATTTTCTTCACAATTACCTTGTTCATATTCATTATATATAGATCCATTAATTGATTTAGCTTTTTTGGTAGTAAATGCTAACAACGTAACAATAACAATAAGGAAGGCAACGCATGCAGCCGATATGAGGCCAATAGCCAAAGGAGATAAGACCTTGTATGAAATTTTTTTTTTCGTCACTTCATAATCTTTCCAGTTTACCCAAGTGTTATTGTACAGGTTTGGATTGGCGAGGGGATCAGCAGGTACATTGATGGGATCTACAGCTCCTCGTTTATATTGCTGTAGAAGCATTTCTAAATTGATCATTGTTGATTGCTTATCAGCTGCTAAATTGATTCTTTCGCAGGGATCGTCCTTCAAATTGAATAGACAAGGAGATACAAATGGATCACAGATATGTTTATCTTGCATTTCTTCAATGTTTGGATGACCACAATTAACTGTAGCCTCTTTTCTTATTTGACTAATTACGTTAGAATCTAGGAACTTGAAAGTCGAAGCACTTTCGTTAACTTTGTGTTGGTCATTGCTGTATTTTTCTTGGATTTGTTTGGACGTAATCATTCCTGCAACAGCCACCGCCACTTTGGAAGACAAAACTGATTTTTCATCGTATTTGTAAAGTTCGCTTCTACCGGAAGATCCTTTCCATCCGTCATTTTTCTTTGATGTACTTCCGTTTATGTACTTCCAATCTCCTTTGCGTATAGATGCATAGCTATAGACTGGATCAATATTGTACAACATCTCCGTTCGGGAACCAGGTGCGTCTTCTGATATCGCCTGCCACATGTCTATTCCATCGATGTCACCTAATTCTGTTTTGTTCAGTCCGGCAGCTGAATAGAAAGTTGGAAGCCAGTCGGATATGTGCATCAACTTATTACTAACCCTCTGGGGTTTTTTAATTAGGGGACTCCATACTGCCGCCACACATCGATTTCCACCTTCCCATGGTGAATTTTTGACCTGAAACATTTATTAATTAGAAAATTCAAAAACTGTAACATTATTATGTATCTACTTACCCCCCGTAAAGGATAATTTGAGCCGTGGTTGGCGTGAATGCCTTCTGGTTGTGCCCCATTATCAGACATAAAAAGAATGATTGAATTTTCAAGCATGTGTTTTTCTCGTAAAGCCGTAACAACCTTTCCAATGCTCTGGTCTAATAGAGATACCATTGCTAGAAGTACACCATTTTTTATTTATTGAACGATTTATTTAAATTTTAATATTATAAACTGTGAAATTTAAAAATTACCAGCATATATTCTACGTTCTGGGTCAGCAATGTAGCCAAATTTGGCAATTTCTTCGTCAGGTGCTTGAAGAGGATTATCGTCGTTCCCAGAATGGGGCGCTAAGTGTGCAAAATACATGAACATAGGCTGATTGCTATCATGCTCTTTAATTAATTTAATGGCCTCGGAAGTGAATAAATCGGTCGAATATTTTCCTTGGGCACTCCAATCCACCGTCATATTTCTCCTCATGTCGTAACCGTATTCATCCCCATACTTATAATTTATAATAAAACTTATTAATGGTAATAATATACACTGGTAATAATATAAATAGAGAAGCGGTCGAAATTCGTAAAACGTTTTTAATGAGGTATATTTTTGTTATTGAATATAAGAAGACTCTTGCACTGACCATGTTGAAATGTTGATATATTAGGAAAAGATAAAAAAATTGATTTTATAAACTACAAACAATACATGATTTACTTAGTATTGTAGATTAAACAATTATAACTCATTTGAAAACAATTTTTTCATTATACTAGAAGAGAAACTGGAAACGTAGAAAGCTATTTTTAAAGGTGATTTCGTTCGCGAGAAATTCTATTATATAGCAAACTACCATTCTATACTTTTAGGGGATGGTATTTTGAAAACTCATATTTTAGTAGATGGTACCGTTGTAGAAGGAACCTTTGTACAAAATTCAAACTTCCTGACTAACGGTTTGGGCTATGTCTTAATCGGTACCTACAGCAAAATTTTAACAGCCTTTTTAGTCCTTTAGGAGTTGAACCTTAAAAAAGGTTTTCTTAGTGCGCCTGTGTAAAATTTCAAGTCTCTGGACCCAGGGGTTTGGGCTCTGCGTTAATGTATCAGACCGTCTCCATTTTCTCAAAATTTAAAAATACTAATTTAGTGTAATTATTGGACTATTATAAACTGAATGAACGAAAATAATTGCAGGAGTGCTTTTATATTGAATTCCAAAAATATCATACCCCATTAACCTTTTCAGTATATCTGTTAATTTTTTGTTTACAAGTTTACATTGCCAAAGTAGTGTGAGACACCTCCACCATTTGTGAATAGAATTGAGTTTAACTGTTTGTAGGCACTGTGTTTTTTTGTGTGTGAGTTGATTAATTATTTCTATTAAATGTAATAACTAGACGACCAATGAAGAAATTCGAAATTTAAATAAACAAAGGAAAGTGTATATATCTAAAGTGAGGATTGCTAGAAGCCTTAAGGTAGATTATTATTAATGACTTTATTTACCGTGGCATGCACAGTATGCTGATAATAATCCTGAAGACCTTGCCAGTAACCAAAGTGCGTATCGAACCCTCTATATGTCGGAGTATATTCTTTTTTAAAAAAACCTAAATGCCATTTTCCTATTGCGTGGGTAGCATAGCCATTACGTTTCAGATGTTGAGGTAACAAAGTTTCGTTCAATGGTAAACCCCAAGGTTCGGGCTCAAGGATTACTAAATGTTGCATGCCTATAAAATTATTTTACAAATAAAAGCATAATTAATAATAATTAATGTAATTGCCACTATTACGTAATTCTAGACGTTTTAACAATGAAATTGTTTTATCAGTTAAATTTTTATTACTGTATTACGTTGTGATGCTTAGGTAAATAATTATAATGCTATCGCGAACTAATGAAATAACTCTTTAGTATTAAAATGTATCACTTTTTAATTAAATCAAGTTTATTACTTTTTACCTTTTTTCCTCCGACGCGGCATTTGCAGTTGCAAAACAAAAACCTAATTTAAATAAAATCGTGCTCATGATTTATTGTAACTTGTAAGTATATGTACGTAAATCCTTCTACTTTAATTGCGTTTTCGTTTTAAATTATGACTAAATTATAAAAATAAATATTATTTACAAACAATTAAAGAGTTATTTAGAAGAATTTTTGCAGTTAATTTCAGTACATTAAAGTAAAATAATTTTTGAATTAATATTTATCACTACAGATAATCCCAAAATAATGAGGAAAAATTGTTGATGTTGCCACGCTCTCGCCGGGAATTGAACCCGCGTACGTGGTTTTACGCACTATTGCTCCACCACTAAGCAACGTGAGTTGTGAGCAGCAACTTTAATGGGACTGAAATTAAAGAGTTCTCAATACTTATGTATGATTGTACTAGTTTAATTGAAATTAGATCCTATTGTAACCATTTTGAGGAAATTGAAATAGTAGAAAACGTATCATTTACTGTAAAATATTCGTTCGATTTGTAAAACTGCTTTTATGATTCAAATGTATGTTTTTCGTTTAAGTAATAATTATCAAAGAAAAAATCTAAAATCTGGCTGTGCAGAGCCGGACTGGCTTATTTTTCAGTGAATGAAGACCTTTTTAGCAAATATTCAAATAAAAGGACCATTTTAATTTCCAGTCCGAACTTGTATTTGTTGTTGTGTTTCGTGGTATAATAGATCGCGAAGATTATTAAAAAAGTGTTTGCAAGTAATTCCGAATATAATATAATTGCGAAGGACGATTGTGCACGCATTCTGTATTGGCCAATTTGTACAAGTCTCACTGTCAATTACAATGAATTAATGTTTTGCGCCTTGACAGCACGAGGTGTAATTGAATACAGTGAAAAAAAAACAAATTGCTGCATTAAACGACCTGTCGGTTTTATTAAAACGAGAAATTTGTGTCGACAACTAGAGCGTGTGGATACTACAAAAGATCCGTCAAGTCCATCATGTAGTAGATACGGACAAGGTAAAAGGTCATAAAAATGTCCCCACATGCACTTGATGCAAAACGGCTGATTCTGAACCGGTCTAATCGTAAGGTTAGCTGATTGTGTACGATCATAATGTTTTATAACTTTCACCTGTATATGTCCGTTTTGATAGGTGCAAAGAACGTGTCTAATGAAACAATTACAGAAGGCTGTGCCGGACATTTACATAAAAAGGACGTTAATTAACTCTAGACCTTACTGAGACAATTACAAATAAATAAGTGTTTAAAATAATGCGTAAGTGCGAAGAAAAATGTTTATATCTTAATGAAATGTGTGTGTACAGGGTGGGCAAATTTTTACGTTTGTGTAGGGCAATTCGGTAACTGTAAGAGATACAAAAAAATTAATGGCGGCTTCTCGATCTCTTTTTTTGAGATAAATTTATTGGTGTTCTCAAAAATTATCTATCGTCTTTTGTTTTCGATTTATAAACAAAAGATGAAAATTTCGAGTTTTGACTACTTGTATTTTTTGTTTGTTTTTAATATTAGAGAAAACAACTTTTACGTTCTTCAGACACTTTTTTACATACAACACAGTGGTGTCGGAAAAATTAAATACAAACACCCCTTTAGAGTTATGACATTGTAGGGGAAGTACGGACAAAATGACAGGGTGTTTTGATTTTGAATCATATATCTTTATTTATTGTAATTATAATCAGTCTCATACATTGACAATCATCTTAGGTTCATTGACTACTAATAATACAGTCTTTTAATTGAATAGGAACTATATCAAATTAAATATTAAGAAATAAATGGACGAATCAAAAAAACCATTTTGTCCATATATCATGGACAAAATGACACACTAAATATCGGTATAATGACATACCAAAATTTTAAGAACAAAGTTCGCAAATAAATCTTTTAGGCTTCTTTGAGACATTAGCACAAGAAGCGTGAGCCCAACGAAAACAACTCATGCATCCTGACCGGCTTTCTCCCGGCTTAGACCGCGAATAAAGATCATTGCAATAAATGCAGGGGCAGACTTCTTCATCCTCATTTTCGGCAGCAAATTCTTCATTATCGAAGCAGGAATCGATAGTTTGAGCAAATTGACGATGTCTCTTTGGTATCTGCCTTTTTTCTGCAGCTTTTGGAACTAGGATTTTGCTATTAAGTTTGCCATCATCAAAAGGCACTTTTATTATCTCTCTTCTTTTTGGTGAACTTTTTGGTATATTTTTTGCAATAACTTCTTCCATATTTGCGGTTNCTCCTCTTTTTAAATATATATAATAAGTGGGGTTGCAAATAATGCTATAAGCATTCAATTACGAAAATATTTTTTTGGTAGTTTACCCCTTGCGTTTTTTATATTGGTTTCTAGTAGGCGTCTGTTATCTATGTGATAGTGATCACCTGTTGGTCATTTCAGAAATCCACTCTTCCCTAGTTATATTATTTGGACAGAAGAAGCCTCATTAGCAGTGACGAAATTTTCTGACAATAACGAGCACTACTGGTGCGATAGCAACCCTCATCGCACCGTCGACGTTAGATCTCAAGGAGGATTTGTTATCGTGTTCTAACTTATCATATGTATCAAGAGCATTTTAATAGCCAGTGGTATCATGATATTTTAAACGAGGAGTTTATGGAAAATTTACCACTAGCTGAAGCAAATAGTTTTTTTCAGCAAGATGGTGCACATCCAGATAATACCAAAATCATTCAAAGCAATAACAATTCTAATGTGGTACCAGAAACGTATTTCAAAAGTTATCCAGAAAACAAACCCTCCTTGAGATCTAACGTCGACGATACGATGAGGGTTGCTATCGAATCAGTAGTGCTCGTTGTTGCCAGAAAATTCCGGCACTGCTAATGTAGGTTTCTTTGTCTAAATGATATAACTAGAGAAGAGTGGATTTTTAAAATGGTAAATGGGTGATCACTTTCACATAGATAACAGACGCCTACTAGAAACCAATATAAAAAATGCAAGACGTAAACTACCAAAGGATTATTTTTGTAATTAAATGTTTATCCGTCGAATGCGATCCCATATATTACATATATTTGAAAAGAAGAAAAAATTATCTTTTCGATTAAAGCATAACCAACTGTGGTTCCTATTTAAAAAAGTACAAGTTTATGTCATAACTCGAATGGGGATTTTTTTTTTAAATTTTTCCGACAACACTGAATTCTATGTAAAAACGTGTCTAAAGAACGTAAAAGTTGTTTTTTCTTTAATTTTACAAACAACTGAAATATGGACATGTAGCCAAAACAAAAATTTTCAACTTTTGCTGATAACTCGAAAACAAAAGACGACAGCAAGTTTTTCAAAACACCAATAAATTTGAATCAAAAAAGGAGATCGAGAAGCCGCAATTAAATTTTTTGTATCTCTTATAGTTACCGAGTTGTCTTCTACAAACTTCGAAATTTGCCCACCCAGTATATGTACAACGAATTTGAGAACTATAGAGCAAAGCAAGATTTTACAAAATTTAATAATTTTATAGCATCAATTTTTTCCTTTTAGTGAACAGATAATGTTGAATTCAGAACCAAAAGTAAGGTATAAATATTTTATTTAATTTAAAACCAGATCCACCGTTTTGCCTATTGTTATTAGCCTTTATCAAGGTAGGTTTATGTGTTAATATTTAATTGTTTCCAAACATTGCGGACTTGACTCGGATTTTAACATAATTTAATAATGTTTTTTGTTATAAATTATTTAAAAATAGATTTCTGACACAAGTTTAGACTTTAAATTTAGCAAAAACAATAAATTAATTATGAGATACCTTATGTAAGATGGTATTCCGTTAAATTGTCAAAATTTTGTTAATTGCTGGCAATCAAAAATCGTTTGAAACTAGATTATATAATATAATATGATTTATATTTTATTGAAGTGCTTTAATGTCTTCAAACCATGTGATAGTGATAGAAATGAATTAAATACAGGTTAAAGTACTGATTACTTTATCTTGTAATAATCAGAAGGCAAGGTAACTCTATTATTATTTTGAATTTTCTGGTGAACACATTAGTTTTGAAATAAATTACGTAATAGTGACATTCATTAACTAATCATATCACAATATGTATATTTGTATGTACAAGATATTCAATAGAATGTCCGTATTAGCTGTTTAAAACATATCGACGTAAGTACATTTGTTTAGTAATTGTAAAAATACTTTTTAATGATCTGTATCGCTTACAAACTATCGTTTTTAAATTAAAAGAGTTATAATAATATTTTTCAAATTCGTAATCGAATAAATTTCAATTCACTGCTTTAAAGCACTTTGAAAGAAATATATGTAAAACTATAAATTTGACATTTTAGTGGTGGTTATTAATATGAAATAAGTATTAATCTGAAAATTCATTTTTCGAATTTTTTACCCACTAGAAACTACCTCAAGATAATGAGGGAAAATCGTTGCTGTTGTCACACCCTCGCCGGGAATCGAACCTGGGACCTTTGGCTTTACGCACCAATGCTCGGACTACTAACCTACGAGAGGTGACGGGTTCGATTCCTTGCGAGAGTATGACAACAGCAACAAATTTTCCTCATTAATTTGAGCTAGTTTGTAGTGGGTAAAAAATTCGAAAATGAATTTTCAGATTAATACTTATTTCATATATAACTATAAGGCTATTGAGAGATTGCGTTTACGTCATAGACATACACCGTAGCAATGGACCGTATGAATAAAAAAAAGCAAATACTCATGAGTATGATCAAACGCTCAAAGTAAATGACTGGAGTTTTTTAGCATCTACTTCAATTTGTATAAATAATGATTTGCTTTTACTCAAGAAGATTTGTTTAAGGAAAATGAGTATCTGCAAGCGATAAAATCTACCAATATTGTGAAGTACGATGCAACAAATAATGACTGATGGAACGTTTTGTAATTCAACTCGGCACATTTATTTCACAATTGGAAACCTGCGCTTAAGTTAGCCAAATCACCTTTATCACTGTTTCTTCCTAAACGATTTGTTGTAGACTTGTTCAGATGCATTACTAGGATTTCTAAATGGTGTAATCAGCCACGGTTATAATCGGTATCCATCATCGCCCAGTAATATTCTTCCAGGATTTTCTTTTACAATAATTACCCCCCCCCCCCTTCGGTGGTCACCCGTAGCACATACCTACCTAAGATCACCCTCCTACTCTGGTTTTCACGTAATAATTCATAAATATGGTTTTAAATCATTTTTGCAAACAGAAAGTTTTGAATATAGCTCGAAAAAACGCGAGTTTTCCCTAGACCCTAGAAGATATTGATTACATGACGAAAACCTAAGCCCCCCAGTGACCACGCATGGTACTTTTGAACCCCCAAGGTTATCATGGTTTCATTAAATTTTACCGCCATGTACAGAACCCGACCAACTTACGAGGGTGGATTGATAAGTTTCCGGCCTGACCAGACTCAAACGTTGCAATAAGTCTGCGTAGTATTGACCAGTGATAGTATTACCCTTTGCAAGGTAATCAATGTATATAATACCTCTTGCATCCCAAAAAACAGTAGCCATAACCTTGTTCGCCGAAAAAATTGTTTTTGCCTTCTTTGGAGTTGGTTCCCCTGGTCCAATCCACTGTTTAGACTGTTCTTTGGTTTCAGGAGTGTAGTGGTGGAGCCACGTTTCGTCAACGGTTACGAATCGACGCAAAAATTCGCTTGGATTACGCTTATACAATGACAAATTTGCGGTAGAAATGTTTTTTCGAATCAATTTTTGGTCGACTGTTAGCAAACGCGGCACCCATCTTGCACAGAGCTTTTCCATATGCAAATGTTGGTGCAAAATATGTTGCACACGTTCATATGACATCTTACAGGTCTCAGCTATCTCACGCACTTTCAATCTGCGGTCTCCCAGCACTATTTGATGAATTTTTTCGATCATATCTGGAGTTGTGACCTCAACGGGGCGTCCTGAGCGAGGCCCATCAGAGGTGCTCACACGACCCTTTTTAAACTCGGAAACCCACTGCTTAACGGTTGAATATGACGGGGAGGATGTCCCCAGTGTTGAGTCCATCTCTTTTTTAATTTCCTTCGGCGTTAACCCCTTCAAATAAAAGTATTTGATGACAGCACGATTTTCCTGCTTTTCCATTTTTACGAAAACCACAGAGGCGTCTTGTTCAGCGTGCTGTCAAACCTACACTAGCAAGGAGATCGGGCTGAAACTATAGCTACAAGCTATCCAAGGATGGTACTATAGAATGTCACCTCAAGGTAGGCCTAGTGGCGTCATCTCTTGGTTAGGCCGGAAACTTATCAATCCACCCTCGTACATTAGCACTAGTAAACATTTTTAATGAATTGCATGTTGTCTGCATATTTAAAGTCATCAATCCCCCTTTTTATTGATGTATTTGTCACAATGTTGATTCGGTTTCAAAATCTGAACGTGTTTACACCAATAGCACTGGGAAACAGAAATTTCATGTCGCTAGTGTAAGAAACATTAAATATCACGTATCCCGATCACTATCACCGTTTATTAAGATTATGACTAAAAATGAAAAAATAAATTACAGTTTAAAAAGCACGCTTTAACTGCAAATCTAACTAAAAAGTAGAAAGAAATTTTTATTTACTGATATTTTATTTAACAGAGCCATAGATAGTCTACTAACTCAATATATTTCAATCATTTTCAATAATTCTAGTACCTGGTATCTATTTGTAAAAGTAGAGTTACTATAAAAATATAATAAAAACATCCCAAGCTTTTTTTACTATGAAAATAATTTCCCTTTTATCATTTCATTTTTATTTTAGAATTATTGAAAATGATTAGTTGATGGGTTAGTAGACTGTCTATGGCTGTTGAATAAAATATCAGTAATTAAAAATGATTTTCTGTTTTTTAGTTCGATTTGCTATTAAAGCGAGTTTTTTAGTTTCTTACACTATAACTTGTTTTTTATTCATAAAAAGTTGTGGTAACAGTTAAATTGCGAGTAGATGCTTGTGCTTATAATATAGTTTTGAACAAAACTTTTTAATTACATTTTTATTCAAAAAATGTATCTATAGCATATGCTTCAAGTTTTGCGAGTATAAGGTTTTGTTCACTTTTTTGACGTGACAACGTCATATAATTCGATGAAGCCGGCTGCACGCACGAAAAAACAAGACTCATGCGGCGTTACCTCGCTCTAAGGCGTTCTATTTAAGGCTTGAAGTGCAAGCGAGAGCGCGGAACGAGCGACAAAGAGGCACAATCGGCCTCCGCGTTCGGCAGCGTTCGACATCTGTCTCTCTCCTACTTGAGTGAGCGATGCGTCCGCGTGGACAGCTGCTATACAATAATACATTTCCATTTACCTCCTTCTCTATATCCATACAAAATATCTATCAAACAAATAAAATTAAAATTTTCTTTTGAAAAATGAAACCATTCCATCAGTATTTTCTTATGACGTTGTCACGTTCAACTATCGTCAGTAAACCGACTTTACAGACAACCGATTTTTTTTTTATTACGGCCCAATACATATGTCGCTCGCAAATACAAAAAATACGGTATAAAACTATGCCTACAAATAATTGGTTGTGCATATTTCCCTTTTTCAAAAATCTGATGCCGCGTGCGCTCTAAGGGTGAGTAAACGAAAGAGCAATACAAGATTAATTATATTGTTTTCTTGAACTGTATCACATCACGCAATCGCTCAATAATGTTTTACTATACTATATATATCATGAATGTATATTATAACAACAATCTTATGAGAAAATGTGTAAAATTAATAGTCAATTAATAATTGTTTTGTGATGGTGGGTACATACCCAAATGAATGGGGTATTTTCCGGTTAAAAAAGCAGACCTGGACGGTGTACATAGGGCTTGCGTATAATGACTGTTCAGAATAACGCCATTGTATGCCAAAGCGTCAATGTTAGGTGTTGGAATTTCATTACTTCCATGAAAACCTACATCATTAAAACCCTAAAAGGTAATAAAAAAAATGTAAAATGCATCTAAAAATTAAATTTTTGAATAATAATTATACGAGCACTGTCTCAGTGAAATAGATTTGTTTAAGAAGGATTTACGAAAATTATCACAATTTTATAATAATATGGAAACTTTCTTAACTTTCAACTAATAAAATAAGAAAGTATTGAAGGAATACTCAGTAAATCATTGCTAACAACGATTCAATAAAGAACGATGAGAATACCGTGGATAGAAAAGGTTAGAAATGAGAAGGTACTAGAAGGTGTAGGAGAAATGAGGGAGCTATGGAACTCAATAAGAAATAGGCGAGATACGTTGGTAGGACATTTTCTCAGGCATGAAGGGCTACTTACAGAAATATTAGAAGCAGAAACAGGAGTCAAAAGGAGTAGATGTAGACCTAGATGAGACTCATCATCATCATAAAGTCGTAAGTCTTAAGATTGGTTGGATACCTATCTCCACTCTTTCCTATCCTGAGCTAAACTTCGCACTTTCCTAAAACTAGAACAACCCACTGTCCAATTTAACATTGTCAATTCTTTTTCTAAATCTACAAATCTCATGTACGCACTCTTTCCTTTTTCTATCGTTTTCTCTATTGTCACCCGTAAAGCTAGAATGGCCTCCCGCGTTCCTCTATTTTTTCTAAACCCAAATTGATCTTTTTCCGATTCTCCTATGTACAATTCTAGTTAAGATTTTTGACGCATGGGAAGTTAAGCTAATTGTTCTAAATGTCTAGTACACATATCCGCGCCCCTCTTTTTAGGTATGGTTATTACTACGTTCCCTTTATAATCCTCTGGGACTTTCCCCGTCTCGTAAATGTGACCAACTAGCTTAAACATACGATCTCTAACTTCTTGTCCTGCATATTTTAGGATTTCCCCCTGTATTCCATCTACACCTAGCGTCTAATTATTATTTAAATTTATTAATGCTACATCGAACTCTTCTCTCATTATGGGATAACCTAGCTCACCTATCTCCACACTATCTTTCTTCTCTAATATATCTCCTACTTCATGCCCTGCGTATAGGTTCTCTAAATATTCTTTCCACCTGTCTGCCTTTTCCTCATTTTCTATCAAAATGATCCCTGCCTCGTTTCTTATATATTATTACTACTGTATCTTTCATATCTAAAATTCGTTTTAATTTTATACTATAAGCCTCATCTGTTTTACCTACATCAAACTTTTCTTCTACCTTTTTACACATCCTATCAACCCACTGTTCCTTAGCTGGCCTACACTTCTTAATTATTTCCCACTAGACTAGACTAATACTATTATATGGGATGTTCTAGTTTTAGGGAAATGCGAAGATTGGCTCAGGATAAGAAAAAGTAGAGATGATTGACTGACGACCTTACGATGATGATTAACGATTTGCGTAGCATACATTCTAAAAGTAGAAATTTTTGAAATATCAACTTTTATGAAGATTTATTTTACTAGAGACTTCGTCCGCGTGAATAAAGAAATCTCATGAAAATCGGTTCAGCCGTTTCGAAAATTAACCCGAATATAGAAGCACAGAATTGTTTTTAAAGTCTTTTGTGTTTTAATTCCATATAAACAACCTATGAGCTTTAAAAAATGCAGTTCAACAGTTCATTTTTATGTATACGTAAAGATAGATAATTGAAAATTCTGTATTTGGAACCGTTGGGAACTTCACTGAGACTGAGATCGCAATTTTGAATATCTTATTCATAGTAAGAAATAATATGATGAACAAAAATGTTATACCATTCAACTTAATTGTACGTTTAACAACTTACGGTTAGTATTTAATGAACAACTAAATAATATGTATTTTCAAATAGCTTAAATATTGCTGCATTTTGCCTTTTTATAATGCGAATGCACTGTATGTCAAAACAGACATAATAACATACTAATTGTGAAATTATCATCGACATTGGATTAATTTTAACATTGACCAGTTATTTACTTTATAAATCTAGAAATAGATGTAGGTGCATTTTTAATTCAGTTATTTCATTACTTCATAGTCGTTTCTAGTTCCTGTTCGTTTTTAAAGAATCTGTGAAAATGCTAATTAAATACGTCAATTTCTTCAAGTTTAATTGGAACTGCTTTGTAGTTATCGAGAGCAATTTACATGCGTAATGATGTTTGGGTTTTCCAAAGTAGATAATCCATATACAATGACCGTTATAATCGCATATTCATAAAAAGTCTGCTACTGACAACTGCATCATATATAATAGTCATTTGTGACCTTCTGGTACAAAGAAGTATCATGTACAATTAAAGAAAAACAATTCCAAAATGCAACAACACATTAAAGAATATTTAAGCACTGAAAATCATTTCTGATTTTCGTACGTTATATTTATGTGGTTTGCCATTGCCTTTCCGAGTGAAAAAAGTTTTATTTAAGACATTTATTTTTAAACTGAAGGTATCCTTAGACATTTTTTTTGTTTTTGATTTTCTTTTGTATTTTTAACCGACGAAAAAAAGGGAGGTTCTCAAGTCAACGCATACTTTTTTTATGTATGACTTTTTACAGAGTAGTCCGATTTTGATAATTCTTTTTTTATTGGAAAGGGTAAATCGCAAAGTTGGTCCTATATAAATTTTGAGAAAAGATTCCAGTCCTAAAAGGATGATTGTTGTTCACTCACCGATTGTAATGTAAGACCACGTATAACTTTTGAGAGAATATAAACTTGGAAAAAAATCTAATCCTAGGGGTAGGGAAACAGGAGATAATTTGTGGTAGGAAAATAATAGTAGCAGTAGTAGTAGTAGTAGTAATTAGTATCTACATTATAGCCACAAAAAGTTATAAGATAAATTTTTTTCCACAAAAAAATTAAACCGCCGAAAAAAGTGAAAAGCAAAAAATAATAAACCTTTATTTTATTAACCTTAATAACTAAGTTCTTAAACTAATGTAAGGATACCTAAGTAATTTTGAGTAGGCGTTAAACAATCAATAAACAAAGATCTCTAAATTACCTTAAATTTAAAGAAACCAAATAAAATTAACAATAACAATAATGGTTATTTCAATAAATTTAAGGTAATTTAGTGATCTTTGTTTATTGATTGTTTAGTGTCGACTCAAAATTACTTAGGTATACTTACATTAGTTGAAGAACTTAGTTATTAAGGTTAATAAAATAAAGGTTTATTATTTTTTGCTTTTCACTTTTTTTGGCAGTTTAATTTTTTTATTAAAAACTTCATTATCTTGTGTAATACCGGATATATATATATATATCGAACGAGTAGATTGTTATGTTAAACACAGGTCAATGTAAAAGCAAACGAGTGGGTAGCAAGTATTCATACACCCATCGATATGACGTCGATGTCATTTCCGTTCTAATAAACGTGACCGAGGGTCATTATGACGAAAACAAAACAAAGTATATCCTGAATGGAAATCGATATGAGGTGTGTGATATGCGTAAGGTTAATCGTAGGCATATGTATGAAAAGGACAATATTAAAAATTAACAGAAGGATTATTTGTTAGACTGCGTCAATATTTATAAGCACAACTTTTACTAATGTATCAAATTATCTTATGGGATATACATATATTATAGGATACTAGCAGCGAAACCCGGCGTTGCTCGGGTCGTTCTAGAATGTTGCAGAACACAAAATTACTCCCGATAATGACACACCACCCTGTACCTTTATAAAATTTCTTAATAATAGTAGATCGTTCTACAATATTCTAAAATATTTGGACAAAATCTAGAAAATTCTAAAAATTCTTGATAATTAATTGCGGACGTTTGGAACTTTCCCGATCGTTCCAGATATTTCTAGAACATTCCATGTCTATTTTAACTGTTGCACACAATTTGGAACTTTCCAGATCATTCCAGAAATTTTTAGAACCTTCTAGAACGTTTTAGATCTATTGTAACAGTTGCACACATTATGAAGCTTCCTGGATCATTTTAGAATTTTTTAGAACTTTCCAAAATGTCTCATAAGCTACAAAACAGGACAGATATATATTTTTTCACATTTTCGCCACCCACAACCATCCACTGCGACCAAACTCCCCTACTTTTAGCAGGAGACCAAGGGGTATTTACCACCACAACGGGAAGTTGATAGGAGTTGCTGGTGATAGAGAAAACCTTGCCTTTACGTACGCACATTAGCATTTTATATATGTATGAAACGTTTGGAAGTTTGACATTTCCTATCTTTCAAGTTGGATCAAACTGCACACGGTGTACAAATTTTATTAAAATCGGTGAAGTAGTTAAGGAGTCCATCGCGGACAAACAACGTGACACGTAATTTATATATATTAAGATTACAATTAACTACAAACCCAGGCTTCGCCTTCTTGTTTTAACCATTCTATATTATAAAGAGGTAAAATTTGTAGTCTTTTTAACGTTTTCTTATAGGTCTAAAATCTCTGAGACTGATTTATTGAAGGCCATATAAGCATCTGTACATTCAAACATAGATTGCTTTTGAATAAATGTATATCTATACTGTTGTGGGCCATCATAAGTTTTTGTAAAATATGTACCAAGTTTTTACATCATTGTCTGAGATTCTGTAAGAGGGTATTACTTCTTCTTACTTACTATATATTAAATAGTACCTATAGTCAAAATGTAACGTGTTTGTTTTTGACGTGACAACGTCCTATAATTCGATGGAGCCGGCTGCACGCACGAAGAAACATGACTCATGCGGTGTTACCTCGCTCTGAGGCGTTCCATTTAAGGCTTGAAGTGCAAGCGAGAGCGCGGAACGAGCGACAAAGAGGCACAATCGGCCTCCGCGTTCGGNTATGGGTTCCCCATGTTCTCACAGAGAGAAATCTGTATCGCCGCATTGACGTCTGCGATTCGCTTCTCAAAAGTCACGAAAATGATCCGTTTTTGAAGCGCATCATCACTGGGGACGAAAAATGGGTTGTACACAACAACGTCAAACGCAAGAGGTCACGGAGCAAAAAAG